AGCTGATGTTCTGAGATCTTGATCCATGCGCCCCTCTTTAAATCTGAGCACCTGCCCCTCTAAAGGTCTCTGCACGGCCCTGGAGCTTTGACCGAATTATGTGGCGGCAGGAGATGGATAATGAATGATGTATCAAAAATATCCTACGCCGTGCCATAGACCGCTTCCGCGTTTGGGAGGAAGCTGATCATTCCTTCTCTGTAAATGAAAGTGAAAGAGATTTAAAGCCAGGGTCGCCATTTCAGCAAGAAGCACGAAAAAGACTCTGGGAGGATTTAAAGGTATTTGATTTGCAAGGTAAGATTATTGTCATTAGATGCAACTAATAAAATAATAATGGTTAATCTGAGGCGTGGACAGAAAAATGTTGCTTTGGGTGGCCCTCAGGGCTCAGTTATGTTTATGTTCTATATGCTTCCTCTTACAAAATAAAATAATCCATGTTTCACTATTATTATTTTAATGTGTAAAATTTTAAGGGGATTTAACCCCTTCAATCTGCCCCTGTTTGACACACATACTGGGATTTAATACTTCTCAGCATAATTAGACGTTTAATTTAATTGGATACACTGTACCTAGTTGCATGAAGTAAATGCTATAGAATATTTTGTCAAATGTTAACCAGACAAGTACCAAGCAGATGTACTGTAAGGTGAAAAACATTAAGAAATAAAGGAAAGAAAAGAAAAATAATTAACTAGCAATAGGAGGCACAAACAAATTCTCAAACATAACTATTAAGTGTAATAGTATTGAAGAGTATTTTGCAGCTTTTTAATTCATTTTTTTGTATTAGATAAAGAAATTTCCCCATACATGGATGAAGAAATTTGCATATTATATTAATTCTAAATTAGGAGTTATTTTGTCATTTTGGTGATTGTCACAAGAAGCTGTTCTTTGCAGGTTGAGGGTCTGGATCAAACAAAAGTTATGATCCTCTGAAAGGCTATGATGACAGAGCTGTCAGTAAATGCTTTTTTGGGATTTTTGGAACCACATGTCTATCTTTTCTCTCACAGAGAATGTTATGTTTTTTTGTGACCTTCATGTTCCTGCCCATCCCTGTAACCATGGGAAGGGAAACTCCACGCCCAATAAAACCTGATTTTAGCGATTGTCATAATATATTACAGAAGCTTTCTTTACTTTTTGAGAAAGTATACAGGATCGAATCCTGCCTTGTAGCTTACTTGTGAATAGTAAATGAAACTGTTGAGAACAATTCTCACCTTTAATTAAAGCAATAATTTTATGTTAGGTTATTTTCATATCTTCTGTTTTATGAAATCAAGCATGTAAACTTGTTTTATGTGGTTTTAGTCTAATTTATAGAAGTGAGGAGGAGAGGTTTTTTCTGTGATGTAAAAAGGTGTGACAAAACACAACGTGTCTATGTTTCAGTGTAAGTGAAACTAAAACTACAGCAAAAACTTGATTCACTGGTCTGAAGTGATTTTACTCTGAAGTGGATTTTCAGTACAAGAGGTAAGTGTGCTACTCAAAACATTAAACTTACAATTAAACTTAATATCTGAATTTAAATGGACTGTGGTCAAATTTATTTTTCTGTCCAGTAGTAATATTGATACCAAATTGTTCTTGCTTGTACAGAAAACATCTGTTTATTAAAGGAAATTTACTGGTTTTCAGAGAAAAATATGGCAAGCATGGATGAAGTTTTAGGATATTCAAAGTCCTGGAAATCTTTTGAATCCCATTTGGAGCGTGACAACACATATAAAGGTAGGAGGATGTACATCATGTACCATGGTACCACACGAACAGCCGCATTAATTATTAAAAAGCACGGATTTCAGCGGTCCAGAGATGGCATGCTTGGACCTGGAGTCTATATCAGTCGGAGCTTTCAGAAGGCCAAAGCCTACCCAAAAGATCTACCCTCCTATGAGCAGAAAGCTGTACTCAAGCTGAGGGTTAGAGTAGGAAAAGTAAAGAAGATCGACCGGCAGGGACACCCCCTCCAAAAAACCTGGCATCAGCATGGATATGACACAGCCTGGGTGCCACCCAACTGCGGAATGGTTCCTAGCGGCTTGGAGGAAGATTGTGTTTGGGATCCCAGCAGGATCAAAGTCTTAGATATAATCT